AACCTGAAAGGTAACGGAAAACATGTATGCAATCGCAGGAATCGACACACATGACATCCCATGACTCGGACTTATTATATAACTGTCCAGGCATGTGTCCGACTAATCACCTTTCACCTCTGCTGCCACAAGCCTTGCCGCAACTTTTGCAGCTGAAGCGGATTGAAAGAGAGCTGAACCCGTTTTGGGCATCACACTTTCTGAACTTCTTTCCGTTGGAGCAGTTACCCGGGCCTCATCCCGACCAAATCCGAGGGAGCCTCAAAAGCAGTTGGAGTCAGAGGAAAGTAAAGGTTCAATGCTCAAACCGATGTCGGTGTTCAGAATTGGTAGCAGAAAAGCATTGCAAAAGCTTACCTCGCAATCAGCTTGAGAAACAGAAAAGAACCTTTCTGAGTAGACCAGCCCTCCTTAAAGCTACTGAGGCCCTGGGCAGTCGTCACGTCCACCAGCACAAAGGTTCAACGCTTCGCCTCAAACGATTCCAACAATCCCTGATGGCCACTCATTACATAATTATGATTCTGCAATTAATTGAATGGATGCGAGCATGTAAACAACCGAGCAGCCACCAGGCTCTGGAATTCCGATCGAGCACTTAGCAGCGCACATGTAGAAAAGGAACATGTTCTCAAAATACAGACGTAGGGAGGACCCTTTGCCTTCAAAATCACTGTACCGCCTTGCGAAAACATGCGAAAACAACTAGTTACAGTAGTTGCCAGTCAAGGGACCATAGTTCCTTTGGTCTTTTGAACCTTGTGGTAGTAAAGATACAACAGGTTTCAGGGGGCGTTATAACCAGGATCTTGTTGATCAACTACAGTATATGTTCGTTGCCACTTCACCTGCTTCACAAACAATCTATGGCTACTGTAGTAGCCTCTCTCTGTCTCTCCCCTTCTCTTTCCACTTGCCCTCACAGTCAAGCCACGGAGTCGAAATCGTTGCTCTTCAGTGGCATCGAAGACCTTAGCTTCAATACAATTCAACAGCAAAATGCATTGAATGATTTGAATGTTCAAAGGATGAAGAGCGCTGAATTCGACATGACTAAGCCATTGACCCATCAGTTAGTATTGTATAAAAACGAGCACAATCCTGCAATGAAAACCGTACAAACGACGAACTGACAGCACTTATAGGGGGTTGTCTCAAACAGGCTAAGAGCGCACTCAAGATGCAATATAGAGCGACATTGATGATGTGACGATACAACAAAGACCTGAGTCTGTATCACCTCACGCGAAAGTGCGCCGGGGGAGAGAGAGAGAGAGAGAGATATATATATATTATATATATAAATTCTCGAGAGAGTCAAGAGTTCTATATATTTCCTGCCAGCGCACGGCAAAGCGCTTGAGGTGCTTGATTGATGGGACCTGGGCCAGCAAGACAAAAGAAAAAACACATGGCACAGACCGACTGACAAACTAAACGTCAGAAAGGGCGATATGTGTTCAATCCGTTTGAAGTAGGTAAACCATGGTGAACTGGTAATGGCTGGTGACGGCCCACATGTACAAGGATGGCTCTGGCCGTCTAGCCTAAGATCTAAAATGCTCGAAGGTCCTAAATGTTCCTTCGCAACGTGCATCTGATCGGCACCTGTAACGACCTCCGGCCATGGGCCAGGCATGCACAGCAACATGTGTGTGTGTGTGATCAGACCTGACCTTCAACTGTTGCAGCTTGAGGCATTGGAGTCAACATTCAAAACTAGTTTTTTTCTGTGAAAAACTTGGGCCTGAATATATGGTGTTGCTTATTTTTAATAAGTATGTTATAAATAGAATGCTTCCCAACTTGGCGTGTCATCAACTTGTCCCAACACCTTGTGTTTTCAGGAATCTGGAGTGGCAGGATTCGAGTAACTGATGATCATGAGAATGACTAGTGACTAAAACTTAAGAACACAATAGCTGAAACTTACTTGAACTTCATACCGTCCGGGACTAAAGTTTGTCCGGCTTTACCACTTGCCACTGAAGAGAATTGAATGATCTCAGAGAATTACTACCCGACATTGGTGTCTTCATGAGAGTGGGTTCGGAAATGTACTCAGTCCTCGCTTCAAACAATTGGACCAAAGGGCCCATTCCAAGAAGCAAATCACATTGCGCAGCCTGCGAGGCATGCACCAAGCTGTGAACATCAAGCAGATCAAGGCGGTCTTCCCAGAAATGCACATTGACCCAAATAGCTCCAGGCTACGGTGTCAGCCTGTCGTGATCTCCTCTGTTTCTGCGATGAACTTCCAAAATCTAGAGTCGTCTTATGCATGATTCATCGCTTCTCCGGCCTAAGTTCTTGCACCCCGCAGCACCCAACACACTCGGGGAACCACTGACTGCGGGCCTTCTCACAGAGCTCAGTCGCCACTGTCGTCGATAGTAATTGTCACTCAACATCACCTCCATTGCCACAAACTGTTCTGTAAGGTTGATTGAAAGGACTCGCGGCGATCCAACGAGAAGCCCGAGCAAAAATATTTTACAATGCAAAACATATCCGATGGATGCTGTACACACCCTGGCTATCTGCTCCACTCGCAACAGATTGGCTGAGCATCCAGCAAACGGTGGAAGCCCGGACAACACTGGACTGGACTCGTTGAAGATTCTGGCAGCATAAATTTTGTCGAAAGCGGCATTCTTAAGAGCAATGAGTCACGTCCAAGACCTAAACGCAAGGGGTAGCAGGACGTGCAAATTACAGTAATAGCAAGGGTCTGCAAGCAGTTAGCAGGTGTTAGTAGTTCTGCATTTTGTATACAAGTCCATTGTACATCATTGTAGCCTAATCAAACGCAGGAACCACTGTTCTAGGGGTTTTGTGAGCACGGTCTCTGACCCTGTCCCTAGATCTTAACAAAATAAAACACATGCCCATTCCCAACGCTGACAGTTTCTTCAAAAGTCTTAAAAGTAAAGCCTTTGCATATCTTTCATAGTCCTCATTTGAGCAACAAAGTGGTGGTCTTAGCACGTCTCAGCATCTGGCCCCTTGTTCACCGCAAAGTCTGCCATTGGGTAAAAGGGAAGCATCTCTCGGCTCCTGGATGTCTAGCGCACCGCTCCCTTTAAAAGAATATCAGAGCTGCACAGCCAAGCATGATCCTGCCAAAACCAATCAACAACATAGCACGAAGTCATGCTCCAGCCTACTTGTGTCTAAGCTGCCCAAGTCCCTGCGATTAAGCCCTGGAAAAACTCTGTTGTTGCGGGACATAACCTATTGAAACCCACTTCGTGGGTTGCTCAGTCCGAGAACACTGTTCGGTGGTTCTGTCGCAGGAGTTCGCGCCAGGGTGTCGCCAGTGTCTCCAATTGGCATCCAAAAGTGCTACTCTGTGACACCTGTGACCACCTGCCCACAAAGTGCCTATGTGTTGGCAATGTGTGATGTTGTGCGTTTGTGGTTCTGCTTTGTGGGGTTGTGTGATGTGGTTGCGTGCTTGTGGCAGTGTGTTTGTGGTGTTGAGGTCCGGTGGTGCCCATTGCAATCTGGCGCTTTCCGGTTGAAGTCCGACAATGATCCCTGCGATCTGGCGCTTGCGGTTGAGGTCCGGAGTCGAGGAGAAGAGAGGAGGAGAGGAGAAGGAGGAGGAGAAGAGCTCTGATAAAGTCTAACAACCCTCACCTGGCAGGTGGGGAAAAAGAACAGAAGTACCAAAGGAAGGTGAATGGTCTCATTGGGACAAGAAACACAGGCCTTGGTGCTAAGCCTCGCAATGGCCATGGCACAGCCTGCGGGGCATTTCAACCGGCTGGGAACTGGCCAAATCCATATCAACAACGACATGTTGGTACAGCGGTTCTTGGCTTTCAGTTGGGGTTCACGCGCCAAAGCATTAAAGAAGCCCAACGACAACAACGACGGTCAGAAAGCACGCCCCAGCCCCTTGCACGTCATGCTTGGACATAGATTCTTCAAGTTGGAGGCCATCGCTATTAGTGAAGTTTCCCCAAAATCTAGGAACCAAATCAATGGTGCCACTTATATACCACCTTGCTCCACAACAGTCTCAAGTACTTTGCAAGACTCTCTAATGTCATCCACAAGGCCCCAAGCCTGAAATGGGGTCTCGAGTCTCGACCTTTCCGTTTCAAGGGGGAAAGAGAGAGAAACATAGCAATTCTGTTTGTTTTTGGTGGGGTGGGCCTCCAAAGGTAGATAGTAGGTAGGTAGCTAGTAAAGTAGAAGAGGTAGCTACTAGCTGCAAGTAGCTACTACCTAGGACGCCGGATAGCTCGCGCTTCTTCATAGACCCTGTGGACCCGTCAAAGTTCACATCACTTGGAGCTGTGGAGAGTGTTGCAAAGTATGAAGCCTAAATGGAGCTGTAGAGACTGTTGAGCAAGGTGGTAAGGGCCTCTTGTGGGTTGATCGTGGGTGATCGTGATTCTGCACATGAAACATCCAAAAATCCAACAAAATCAAATGGCTCATACCAACAGCCAGTGCAGATCGCTGCCGCTAGATGACCGAATGATCGTGACAGCTTGGCTTGGCAAGTACACTGGAATAGCTTGGCATGGTTGAAACAGCTGGCTCAATAAAAGCTGACATGGCCCGACACATTCTATGTAAATTAAATTCCTGCTTGCGAACCTTGCATGGAAATTCGAATCCTGATTTGTGCTCAACGTGTGAGACTTGTGGAAATGCTTCCGCAACGCTGCCGCTGATCACACTGCACGAAAGAGTGGACAAAAACTGTTCTGTCTTAAATCATCGCTAGTTTCAGTTCCACTCCACAAAACACAAGCCAGTAACTTCAAACATTTGCTATAAATTTGTTGAAGTGCGAATATTTGCGAATTACCCTTGCGCAAAACCTTACGAACCTCTCGCACACGATGCAGGTTTTAGACCACAAAAGTAACTGCATACTGGCAACTTGGCAACTAGATTCTGTTATGTGGGTTTTTGTGCAATTGTGCTCAAAAGTGGCTGGCAAGACTCGAGTGGCAAATAAACTCAACAACAACAACAACAACAAACCATTAAGCCTTGCCCCTTTACGCCTCCTCAGCATCTCGTGCATAGCGCTGCTCAGCTGGTGCTTCGGGCACCCGCTCCAGGTCCTCTTCCAACTGCACCTTGCAACAATTTCAATGCTCAGGTCAAAAGGTAGTAACGGGCCATGACACCCTGAATCGATCATTCATCTTCCAGCATCGTCGTGGTCAAAGCTGATACATGTCTATGCCAAGTCTCACCCCGGCCTCTTGCTCGTGGTCCTGCAGAAACGCGCAACGGTGTAACCAAGAGCAAATCTGGGTTGATGGAAAGTCGAAACGCGAAAAACAAAAACTGTGCAAAGTCCTGAAAAGCATGATTTCCTGTGGAATTTCTATATGTAACCAGCCAGTGTCAGTGTCTTCACTGTATCACTTTCGGGCTGCCGCAGCTACCAACAACCCTGTGATCCTGTGTTCTCATTCGACCGTCGCATCCACAAAACTAACATATTTAAATATATTTAATCGCTCCCAGTCATTCCCGCTCTCAGAGCATGCATTGCACTCAATTGGACTCAATGCATCCCAGCAACTTGAAGACTCTTGTCATCCCAAGCTTGGTGTCTGACCTGCTCCACTTCCTCTTCATGCTCTTGCTCTTGCTCCTGGACCTGCTCCTGATGCTGGCTGAAACAAACAGCTTGGGGAGTGGCTGCGGGGCATGGGGGCTTCTACATTGTCATTAATTATTATACAAGTCGTCTAGTGACAATATCATAGACCGGTGTTAAAATGCGACAGCAAAGAATGATGTAATGATATAGTGTATTACACATCTATATGCTTCTTCTATGATATTATATGATAAGATAGATATAATACATAGTTATACCTATATAACGGATCTTGTTCAATGACTCTGCCATCATGCTGCATTTCAACATGGGCAGCCCGCTTCGCACCTTTGAGAAGTTGAACTCGTCATCGTCGTGTGATCCTTCAAGCCTTAGGTCTTATATTATATATTATAGGTCAAAATGAAAGAGGAACCAAACAAAGTGCTCTATGTATCTCCATGCCGTAACATTTGCATACACGGCGTACACCTCACACCTCCCTTTTCCTGCTAGCTAGCCTGCGGCTATATGTGCATATATATATATGTATATTATACACACATATTGCATATATATGTATATATATATATTCAAACAACTCAAAAGCTTTCTGACCTTACAAAAGCAGCATTCACAGCATGACCTCGCTGTTACGGGTGTAAGCCCGGGCCTTGCTTTGCCAAGGACAATGTTTGGGCGGTTTGAGCTGACACCCTCAACCCACAAATAAACAACCCTACAAAGCTCAGGCTGATATTTAATCGATATAATATATATATATACACATATTCAATGATAGGTGGACTAGTCACCGGTGGACTAGTCACCCGGTGCAGGTTCTTGGAGAGACAACAACGCCGAGAATCGAGACCAAATAGAGAGCCCTATTGGCACAATGCACAACAATGATCAGCAAAGCATTCTGCATGTGATGTGAGACCTTGGACAGCTTGCAAACTATGGAACAACAACTAGGCCATTGTCCCTGATCGTGCTTCCAGATTCCATCGCCAAATGAACATGTGGCAGGTTGACTCTGCTCCCTGCTGGCGAAGTATGCGCTCTGCCTCTGCCCGAGCCTGGCGCTGTGATTGGTCAGGTGCACCACCATGCATAAAGTTTAACCAAACAAAATTGCTTAAACTTGCACAACACCCCCACATGCCCACCTCGTCCCTGGCAGCTTCGTTGGTCCAAACCTTGTCTTAGCCAGGGCAGGGCAGCAAATAAACGGAAGTTCCACGATTTTGGGATTTGGGATCTGATACTAAGTGTTCAGCGCAGTTACTTCTTAAATTCCTGTCTGTGCTGTTTGAAGCATCATCACCCAAAGCGGGACCAAACCTGGCATAAACTTGTCAACTTGCACACGCAACACAAACCTGAGCTGCTGGCACTGTGCCCGATTGTGCCTTTGCCAACCTGGGTCATTGCCCAAGTCTCACCCAAAAACACGCATGCAACCGGGGATGGCATGGGCATTTTTTGTGGGTGCCTTTAGCATGAAGCCTGAGTGCCTAGCGTGGCGTGAAACTGCCCGACGCCAACGTGCCTCAACACCTCAGAAAGGTCTTGCACGGTGCAAGCTTCGCCATCAGAAACACATAAACCTATGTATATAGACGACCTTATAGCGATGGCCTCCAACCTAGAAACACACACATATATATATATATATATATGTAAACCCACTTGGTTCCCCATCACGCTTGACGCTTGACCTGGGCTGACCTGGGCTGCCCTTGCTATCGCCACCTTGCAAAAAAGCATTTGCAAAGCTTGCGAGCTCAGTCTTTTTGTTCCAAAGCAATTGAACTTTCTGGCCAGCTGCATCAGCAAACTCAGAATCATTCCAACAACCTTAATCAGTGGCGTTGACCACGTTCGCACAATTTGCATGCTGACCATGAGGAAAATTCCAACTTTCCTCGTGCAAAGCCTTCTCCAGGTCTCTTCTCCGACACCTCAGGAACTCTCTATCTATGCCAGCACCATCAAGTCCATGCAAGCATGGAATTGGTAGAACACTACTACCAAAACGAAAATAACAGTCCGACAAAAAGGCTGTACTACATCATAAACATCATACAATTTTACGGCAACCATGCCAGCTGCAGCTAAGGTTTGCGAGAACCAGCTGAGACCGCCCGACGCAGAAGTCCAAAGATCCCAAAAGCTCGAACAGGGCGATCTTCAAGCGGCCCTGTGGTGTTTGTCATTGCCCCCCTTCAATTGCATTCAATTACGTGCTCTTTGATGTTCATAATATATATATATATATATTCATGGTCCACCTACACACAAGAAGGTCCAAACTTTGAAATCCTTCAATTAGCTACCGTAAGTGTTGCGTATCGGAAACCAGCAACCTACCAGAATGTGAACGCACAATACATAACAATACCATACATCCAAAACGTGAACTCTTCTAAACTGTGTTCCGGCACAAGTGTGGTCAATAAACTGCGCATGTGCCAAATCCACGAAGTATGTGAACATAGTGGGCCAAAAAACCGGGTGACATTTAGTGACATGGAAGCATGGAACACCCAATTCGCAAAACACGTTCCCGGCAAGAGGCCCCAAACAGCGTTGAGTAAAAGAGCAAGGGTGAATATGCCAAGTTCCGCACCTTAAACGTCTCCAGAGCACAAAGCTAGCAGCACACTGAGAGCAAACCGCCGAAAACACAAATATGAGAGCACACATGCGAGAGCCGAACACATGAGAGGGGTATGAGTGAGCAGGGGTATGAGTGAGCATTGTGAGAGCACGCGCACACACTCGCATGAGAGCACAAATATGAAAGCACACATATGTGAGCAAGAGCATGAGAGCACAAAGGTGAGAGAATTAATATAAGGGGTTCACAGATTGCCGCGCCTACAACGAAATCTGCACTTGGAGGTTTTCAATGTGCTGCATGTGCCACGAACTTGGCACATCGAAGTCAACCGGCACAATGAGTCGTCAACTTCAAAACACGAGGATCCCCTTGTGCCTGCCACGCAAAGTGACCACCAAGCCCAAAAATATGCACAGCCCCACAACAAGAGCCCAGTCAAGTAAAGCACCCTGTTGCGGCGGTGAGTTTGTACATGCAGATCGAACATCTCGAGGCATGAATGCACCGCAAATAGCAGCGAATTAGCCGCACATGGATGTGCGCTTAGAAGGCCCCTTTAACACCTTACACAAGGGCCTTACCTTCTTCTTGTTCCTCTGTATTTTAGACCTAATTGCTATGCTCGCCCGAGGTCTTGATTTATTACTCTCTCTATACGCATAATGTCGCGGCGACACCCCAAGCTGCAAATATCAAAATCACTATAAATCCATTCAATTGCTCTTGGGCCTTGGCACTTTGACAGCCTCTCGATTCTCAAATTCCCATGCCACCACGCCTCTGCCAAGAGCTGCTCCGCACGGGGCGATTCCAAAACTCGGCCTTTCCGGCACGTGCCAAAAAGCATCATTGACTGTCTGAGGATCTTCCCACCAGAAAGGGGATCCTCTTACAAAAACCGTTTCAGATTGAGAACCACTGCTTTCACCATGTTCCTGGACCCAAGCTCCACTATCTGTCACACGCCCAAGTCTGGCACATGCTGCAGCTCGCCAAAGGTTTTGCAAGTCTTGCTGATGTAGCAAATGCCTCTTTCTGGCCTGCAAAGTTCCAAACGAGAGCTTCCACTTTAAGCGGTAAACTTGAGATGACTCGACCTGGTCAGCAGCAGCTTGGGCATCTAGGCCCCCCCCCTCCCCTTCCAACCAAGCGTACCCCGCCTTCAACTCCAGAGGGGTTGGATTGAACATGAGTCGGACATGCTTGGTTTGATTGGTTGTTGGGAGGTTCATTGGAAAGGGACGTTGGGTGGCACTGGTTCTGTTGTGTAAGTATCGTTGGGAGGTTCACTCGAAAACCGTCCCTGAATATTGGAATCTACAGTAAGCAAGTGATTGCGAGGCTTCCCCCCGTTGATACTCCAAAATTCATCGGCTGTGGCAATATTATGCAGCAATGCTTCAAAGCAGCTACGCCTGTTTTCAATATGCATGGCAAACAAACCCTTCAAGCAAGACCCAGCAGCTGTAAAGAAATGCTGTTTATTTTTCCTGAAGGTTACCTTGCTTGCCTTGCAAAACCTCTGAACGTCGCAACCTTTCGGAAACCAAAACCTGCACTTGAAACCACTCACTCCAAACCTTGTGACCAAAGTCTGAAGGTTTCTTCCTGTATAAAGTAAAGAACCAAGAGAAGCAGCAAACAACTCAGCATTGATGCACAGCACAAACAGCTGCACGGCCAAAGCCAATCAACAAAAAAGTATACGCAACACTCCACAAAAAAATACACAACAGCACACACCCCCACAAAAGAAACTACTGTACTGAAGAAAAACAGTAGGCTGTCGACTTTCAACGACCATCCACAAGCAGGGTGCCAAATTCGTGCGCCTAACGTGGTTAGCAAACAAAGCGAGAACCCAAACATCAAGAAAACCATCAAGAAAAAACAAGCAATTACTAGTAACTAGAGATAACTATATATATATATATATAGTATGCATGGTTGCTTGTTTTATCTTGTTCTGGCCTGTGGTTCTCTATATTCAGTAACTCCACAATTGAGTTTGTTGATGCTTGATCTTTTGCAATAGCTGCTCCTGGTGTCCGATTACTAGCCGCTCTTATCGCTTTTGTTGCCAACTCGTATTTATATATATAATATGTTTTGGAGGTTGTCGTCTATTATTGTTTGGACTGTTGTTGTACCATTCTTGCCTGAATTCCTAGCTGTACCCACATACAGCTGCACCGCCTGCAAAACAAAGACAACAAAGACAGAACAACATGGAAACGGAAGAAACAGTTTTCTGTCTTTCCTGCTCGGAGCCAGGACCTGCTTGAACACTGGAGATTGGGGGTACCCTAACTTACAGCATTCAGACTCCGCAAGACAATCAAAACATTGTGTGGAAGCAGGCAGGCCTCCGCAAACGACTACAGAACCCGTTTGAGACTGCGCACTCAGAAATGGAGGCATAGTCATGAGTCATGGACGTCGCTGTCGCTGATCATCGAATGGAAGAGTTCCAACCTGACCTTCCCGGCCCTAGACCTATTCTAGTTACTAGTAGTAAGAATGCTCCTAGTAGCGATGCCAGGAGCCCTAGTCGCGTCCTTGCTCCTAGTAGCGATACCCTTTGCTCCTAGTAGCGTCATTTCCGGATTCCGGCCCAATCAAAAAGTGAGGCCTTCTTTGTGAATTTGCTGTGGCAGGATGATGACGTGAAACATGTGGGAGACCTTTGAACGATACATGCCACATAATTACACACCAAGTAAGTAATGTCCAGTCCTTTGCATGCAAAATGTTACAGTACATAATAATATATACAGTATATGTTGTTATATCTGGTGTATGCATTCATATATTGTGTTGCATGTTGCATTTGTTCAACCAACTCAAAAGAAAGCTAGTAGTAACAAGTGCCTTACTAGTAGTAACAAGAAGCTAGTAGAAACATTCTGGCACGAGCCTCGGCTCGAATGCCATTCAGCACCAGCCAAGCAAGGAGATCCACCAATACTGCCTGCGCCCAGGCCTGTTCCAGTCAAAACAGCCCGTGTTTCCTCCCCGAAAGAAGCCACAAACACCTGATATGCTGACCTCTCATGAATCGGTCGTGCGTCCCGCTCTTTCCTACCTTGTGACTTTAGCTGTCACACACAGTAATTACTTCGTTTCTTCTGCGCTTGAATGGTCAGCACGCCTTAACTGCATCCGCCCAAGGACAAAAACCCTTCCGTGTAGCTCTTACACTCCGACTATTGCAAGCATTGCATATTACCACTCTGTCTGTCTGTCTGTCTGTCTGTCTGTCTGTCTGTCTGTCTCTCTCTCTCTCCCTCCCTCCCTCCCTCCCTGCCTCCCTCCCTCTCGATTGTTTGAATTATTGGGTGAACTTGTACAACAGGCGGTTCTACAAACTTCCAGGTGGCCACTCCAATTCCCAACTCCATACTATCTACCGGTCATTGTTTTGCAAACGGCCCGCCATGTGTGTATACATGCGCATATTATTGCATACAGGTATATCAATTCATACACATGAACACTTGTAGCGCAAAATCCACCACAAACCAACACCCGACTGATTTAGCTCAACTACAGCAATGCGCTATTAGTTTCTTTCAGGTGCGCAAAACGGGCAAGGCGCAGCAAGGCTCTCCGTGCCTCAGGCTTCCGTTTCAAGGCAGCCAAGGCGGAAGCTCGGGCCTGGAGGAATGAGTCTGAGACATCGTACTGAAGTAAGAGCCAGTCAAGTCCAAAACACTAAAAATACTGCATTATGTAAACTTAATTTATAATTGCTTGTGCATTAATAATACACGTTGCAAACTGCTTTACAAGTTTGATAATGCATCATTCAGCATTGTCAATTTTAATCAAGCATTCATATGATTCATATGATTCTGAATTAATACTAAGGCCATTTAAGGCTAATTTGTGTGCAACAAAGTGAATAAGTAGTTTATGTGCAACTGTGCTGGAGGCATCACTGCATATCCGTTCCGCGTCAACATTTGACAGGCTATAACACGGTGCCGTTGGCTAAAAGGGGAAGAATTAAGTAGGAACAAATATAAAGTAGAGCAGATCTGAACATGGATAATCAGCAACACATACAGGACGGTCACTACATATACAGAAGCAAAATCCGGGGCACATCCATGACATGGAGAGTCTAAAGGTCTGACTCGGCCCTCAGCTTCTTCGCAATTGCAGCACACATGTTGGAACAGATCGTCTGGTCATCCCGTATAATGGCACTGCACGGTCATCAAACTTGAGGCGTACAAATCAGTCCACCCATTCGTACATTTTACATCAATCTGTTCGCTGCACCCTAGGCATCTTTTGTGCACTTGGGATGGGAAACACCTCGTGCGCAGTCTAACCGACACCATGTTCTAGGGACAGTATGGCTACGCTACACCGCGCAACTGCAAATATATCAAACATAAACCAGTTAAAGCATGTTAAAGCTGCATGCTGTATGTCAATGTAGGCTCTCACACAAGCATGGTTCTTTCCAACTTCTTCATGCCCTGTTGACTTGCACATGAGGAATGTTGCCAACGAGCTTTAATCAGCTCCACAAGTCATGTGTGCGATTTGAGAGTTGCAGAGCATCAGCAGCTTTACAAGTGGATGCCAGCGGCTGATCTTCACACTGCCGGGTGCCAATCATCTGTGCTCCCTGAAGTCGAGCTAACTATACCAAGCGAATCGGTCCCATGGTATCTGTCGCCAGTCGCTGCCCACCTGAAACAATATGGTCCAATCCAATTTCCAAACAAGTCTAACCATCTTCTAACCTTAACGAACGACTACCCATTGATACACTATCCTCCACTCCTCCATTCATTCGTGCACCTCTCGGCAACTTCCTTATTGCAATCGTGCTGTTTATACACTGCCCCAACCTCTCCGGTACAAAGGTGTTCCATGCTTCGTCCTCGAGGATCGCCACACTTTCGATAAAGTTCACAGCCCGTCTGGATAAGTGAGTGGCACGTGATGGGGTTGCGGGATTTGCATGCAATACCTGAGCGTTCAACCAAGGCAACAAAAGCAATTGCTTTGCTAACAGACCTACGGAAAGGAAGAGGATAACACAAGTTATTATCTAAAAAATAAAACAGGCTTTAACATGCAAAACCGCGTGGCAATAGTACACACATATAAAGTAAAATGTTTGGTATGTGAACCGGGGCTGCTAACAGGTTGTTTATCGTCTTGTTTTTATAAACCAGGTCGACCATCCTGTCTTTCATTTTTGTTTCGTTTTGACTTCCTTTCTCGTTGATAAATGCAAATTCTATTCAAGTCGTTTGACATTGTATAACTGCAACCAACCTGGTGGTATAAGTGTGTCTTGTGCTCCCTCACGAGTTAAACTCCACGCAACCGGAACAAATTGATCTCAATCCTAGACTTGCAAGCCAAGAAGTTGTGAATATGGCAATGGGCTATAATCCGAACGGGAAAGATAGAAGATAAGAAACAATATTTTCAAATAGAAGGCAGTCATTTTGGGGAAGTTGGGCCATGGTTTCAAATAGAAGAAACTGACAACGTCCAGAGAATCTCCGCAGACCGATTTTTGCGATTTCGGGCACTTCAAATAGAAGATACTGCTCAGCAGAGAGGTCTCAATTAGAAGAAATTGACAACGGCAGCCCTGGCCAGTCCAATCTTCTGTGAAAACTACTCAGTAAAGGAGAGGAGAGAGGGGAGGAGAGAGGAGAGGAGAGAGGAGAGAGGAGAGAGGAGAGAGGAGAGAGGAGAGAGGAGCGAGGAGGGAGGAGGGAGGAGGGAGGAGGGAGGAGAGAGGAGAGAGGAGACAGGAGAGAGGAGAGGAGAGGGAGATGGAAATAGCCGCGGCTGTCCCAAATAATATCTTCTATTTGTTTTGCCCGGGCTTGTGGGCCATCTTCTATTTGAACCGGTCGGGTGTTCAAAACCGGGCATGCTTTCAAATAGAAGATTTTCACAACTAATATCTTCTATCTTAGGCGTCCGGATTATAAGGATTGGGAGCAAAACATGTTTCAGGAATCAAACAATGCCTGATTGTGACACAATGCGCTGCACCATGCCCTCTTGCTCGTCCAGGGCAGGCACCACATCGCCCCAAGGAATCACAGAGACCACAGTACCTCCAGTATCAAACGGTTGTTCGCCACATTGTTGGTTTCCTACTGTAGCGTACCCATTTGCCATTTGCAGTTGCATGCTCTAGATTCGAAAAATGTACAAAACCATTTTTCTGATCGAACGAACTTTGTGGCAAACTGCTACCGCAAGGTCGCCTTTGTCCAAGCAACGCCCTCCTGCTTTGGCGCCCCAAGAAAGCTCACAACATAATCCGGCAAAAAAAACAAGCACCCTGAACTAGAATCAGAACAAAAACATTACAGTAATAACTATACAAACACATTTGCATTCAGGAACACATACGTGAGGGCACACATATGAGAACAAATTTATGAAAGCAAACACACACTAGAGCACACACACATGAAAAACACGCACACGACAACGCAGGCATGAGTGAACAAGCTTATATACTGTATTTAGCAAAAACGGCACATCTCTAAGAACCTGCTTGTGAGAAGATTGCGGGCACCTACGAGACCACCACACACACACATCTACAGTAGTTAGATGAACATGAGAAATCATTTCAAAAGCAAGTGCAGGTCAAAGGACACAAAGGAAATGAACACAAAGTAAACAATCAATCAAATCCCAAAAACAAAACCAAAAGACCCAAATCAAAGAGTGCCGAATCACCCCAAAATCCCAATTTATCTCAACATATCCCCAATGAATTACTTCAAACTACCTCGTTGCTTTTAATCATCTCAAAAAAAAATTCAAGCGATCTCTAGCTAGATGTAGTACTGAAAGGAAAACAATACTTGTCCCAGTTCAAACCACATTCAACAGTTTTCAGAATGTTTCAAGTCATCATCTTGATATATTGGGAGACTAAATCTACATGATGGCTCCAGGCCAGATTGCCTAATTTTCCAAAATTTTTCAACACTAAGTCAGAAAATGCAACATCATGTGACAAATGCAGAAAATCTGGGAAACACAAGCGCGCTCTGTGTTTGTTTTTGTTTTCCTGCTGTCGAATGTCTGAAGCATGTGTCTGAATGTAGTCAGCTGAGATTGACAGTGGAAGGGAACATTGACTGCTCAGTCGGTTTCAGCTGTCATCAGAACAAAAACTTATATATCAATAAACTTATATATATATATATCAGTCAAAAATCGCATGCTAATCGCTGATCCCTCTATATAGCTATGGGCTCTGGTAACCCCGATCAGTTTGCAAGTGTTCCCAATTTTTCATGCACAGCGTTTAAAACAAACAGTGGCACTCAACAAAATCATACACAACCATTAAGTTGACATAAACCAAATAGAAATATATAGAAATAATGTTGGATCCTGATTAGTAATAGGGTCCTCTATAATGCTAAATGGTCCAAAAATAAGTCTGGACACTATGTTCGTTTTAAGGGTTCTCCATTGTGCTGTTCTTTGGTGATCCTAATTATTTGTTCGCTATTTGAAAAAATAGGTCTCTAAATCCTTCGGGGACCTGTGAGTACTACTAAGCCAGTGGCTGGCTTGCTGAGAGTATAGTTGGTAATCCTAAGTTTCTTTATTTATTTTTCTAGAGCTTCCCAAAGCCATCAATTCCTGTAGTAGACCTGAAGATCTGCTCACGATCTGAGGTTGCATAGGAAAAGGATTGCTGAGAATATTTAAACATATTTATACAATTACAAAGAACATGAGAAAGGAACATTAATTAAAATACTACAATCAATTCCAAAAGGAACCCTCCCAGGAACCCAGATTTGTTTTGGTGGTAGTCTATTATAGAGGACCTCCCATTTGTTTAGAGGGGGGGCCCCCTTTACTAATCAGGATCCAACATTACATAACAACTGCTTGTGTCACAAAACAGTGAAAATGATAGCAAATATGAGAGCAAACAAATGAGAGCTCACATATTGGAGCGAAGTCATGAGAGCAAACATGACAAAGCAAAGGTATGAGTGACCACACATATATGAAAGCACCATCTCACACCGAATTGGATATACCCAAACTATCCCGAACTCAGTTGAATGATCGAATGCTTGTTGCACACGTGCGCGAGTGGCACCTGCCAACAATTGCCTTTAAAGAACTGTACGGACATACATTTCGATATTTGTTGGTGCCATCCGCTTTCAAGTGCAGACCATATATAATAGTGTTGATTCTCGGAGGATCATGCAATGAAACGGGCTCTGCACTCCAAGATGTTGAGCAAAGACGCTTTCGATAGGCACCTCTTGCCTTGGCAGCTGCGCCAGCAAGTACTGGTATGCGCCAAACTCCATGTGTAGAAACTCCGGAATAGACTAACCACCACAGCATGTTGAAAATTAATTTGTCATAAAACTTGACATGTTGATTCGGGCAAACAGCCAGCCACCTTGAGTATCATTGACCTCCTGTTTGCATCAGTCAGCAACAAAGGATCCAGCGGGGATAGTTTCTAGTTTCCACTCAAAAACCTGCAGGCTGCAGGCAAAAATGAAACCAGCACCGGTTTTGCCAAGTGGCCTTATGAAATCATGGGTAACTCGGGTTAAGGTCACCTGAAATGGGGCAATGCAAAGTGTGGGTGGTGATGACGTGCA